GAACTTTTTCTTATGAATGGACTTTTAGGTATTGATTTCATGGAGTGAATTGACTTTGGTTCTAAGTGGATGCAGTAGTCTCTGTGCAGTTTCTTCATCTATAAGCCACAGTAGTGATGGTTTCAAGTGTCTCAGTGGCCCAAGCTAAGAGAATTTGTAATGGCAGTGGTTTTACTTTGCCAAGATGAGCTTGTTGACCTGTTTCTCAAGTTGGTGGTGCATGTGTGCACATCATGGGTCAGCTAACTTGGGGTTAGCTTGCTGGGGTTGAGGCTATGGGGCTTTATTTTTCCCAGGAGTATTTGCTTGGCCATCCTGGGTGCATGCCTGTCAGAAGCAGCCTACAGGACTATCTTTCAGGCCAAGGATGTGGGCACATAGTTGCTCAAGTGGCCTAGAGGTGTGTTGGCTAGGGGCAGCCCATGGGACCATTTCTCACATCCAGAACTCAATCCAAAGCTTCTCACCTATCCTGGGCACATGTCTGCCAGGAGTGGCCCATAGGACTATTTCTCAAGCCCAGTACATGGGCACACAGCTGCTCAGCTGGCCTGGATGTGTGTGTACCAGTGGTTATCTATGCCAGAGCTGCCTCTGAGGCCTGGGAGGACACAAGGTTGTTTTGCTTTCATGGGGCATGTTTTCTGGGGGAAGGGGGACAGCGCATGGGGATCTTAAGTTTGAAATACATTTTCAAAAAAAGAAGTCTCTTAGGCTGCCATCTTCCTGATATAGTTTATTGATAAACTATTTCTTACAGAGATAACTATTTTTAAAAGTCTAAGAGATATTTGACAAGCAGAATTCCTAAACATAAACAAAAATTTGTGCTACGGAACATATCTATTCATACCCAAGAGAAACCTCTGGCACCTTTTTAAACATTGGCATATGATATTTCTTTCTCAAAAATTTCTTGTTCCTGTAAGAATTGATATTAAAATTAAGCCCATAGGAAGCTTTAAAATGCCAGACATTCATGCTATATTCTGCATGATAAATTATTAGCAACCCTTGGATGCTGGAGTCACAGAAAACAGCCATTTCAATCATTTTATTTCCTATAGGAGATACGTTTTCTCTCCTCATCTCTCTAGAAATAACTGAGTAGAATTCTGTGCAATATAAACAGGGAGTTTAATCTATTCAGTTTTCCTTAGTCCCTTTTGCAGATGTCAATCTGAAAGCAATAATAAATATGACAAATACTTTTCTTGCCCTTATTTATTTTATTCATCCTTATCTATCTAAAGTCAAAAGGCAACTAAGAACACATTTAAACTAAAGTATCCTCAATAAATTCCCACTGTCATCACATAACCAGATACTTACAGGTCACATATTAAAGCTTGAGTATCAGTTTGCTTCCAAAAGCTCTACAGGATAGACTTCTTCTAGAGTGATAATGAACATGTAGACATTTTAATATGGTATGACGGTTATACCGCAGAATTTTTACTTGTCATCTTAAACCCAACTGTGTTTCCAAATATTTGTTAAAATTTCGATATGACATTTTACCTATGGAAGAGAATTTTTATGGAAATTGATTTTTTCCTAGTTTTATTGAGGTATAATTTGCATACAATAAAATTCACCAATTTTTAATGTACAATTTAATGGATTTTGGAAATTGTGCATCGTTGTGCAACAACTACTATATTCAACATATAAAACAGCTCTGTTGCCCTATTAAAGTTTTTGTATGTCCCCTTGCAGACATTCTCCCTCATGCCACGCCTCATGCTAGCCATAGAGAACCACTTTCTGACACTGTGGAAGGTTATAGTGTGTAATCGTTTGTGTTTGACTTCTTCATTAACATCATACTTTTGAGATTCATTCATGCTGCTGTGTATATCAACATTTTGTGAAACTAATATTTTAATTAGACAAAAATACCTCCTTGTATCAATTACATGAGAATTAAATAGCTTCATTTTTAAGTGTAGTTTTGTCAGAAGTAATTTTCTGGATAATTCTGCTTAGATTTCTAATTATCTGAATATTCAAATATTTTTGCATGCTAAGACTTACAAAAATATAAAAAGTGAAGCTTTATTTGGGTGCCCATTTAAATGTATATTTGTGATTATGTAGTTGAGTTACAACTACAAAATATACACACAGGACAGCTTATTTAGACCCAAGAATATGCAAGATCAGACAATTAAGTTTGTGAACTTATCCTAGAAAAAGTACTACATACCTCATTGCTGAATATCACTATAGTCACCTTCAAAGTACTCCCCTCAGGAAGCTACACACCGGCTCCAGTGCCTAGTCCACCCTCCAGAACAATTTTGGAACTCTTTTTTGAAATGAGCTTAAGAACTATTGTTGCACAAGGTGTGATAATTAAGTTGGAGAACTCTCTCTGGAAAAAGTGCTACATACCTCATTTGCTGAATACCGCTATGGTCCCCTTCAAAGTACTGCCCTGGCATTGGCTGACCATAGTGATGTTCAGTAATAAGTTATGTAGCAATTTTTCTAGGATGAGTTCACCAACTTAATTGTCCAACCTCGCACCTAGGTAAAGAAAGAATACAGAAACCACCACTTAACAATTTGTTGACCACTGATACCTTAAAATATACCTTTTGCTGACTAGGCAAAGTAATTATATTACATTCATCTTTTATTTTTGTCTAGTTTTGGTTATAAAGCCTATTAATCAGTCTGAGCAACATGGCAAGACCCCATCTCTACAAAAAATAGAAAACTAGCTAGACATGTGGCATACACATGTATTCCCAGCTACTTGAGGATGAGGCAGGAGAATCACTTAAGCCGAGCCCAGGAATTTGAGATTGCAGTGAGCTATGATGACGCTATTGCACTCTACTCCAGATGACAGAGCAAGACCCTATCTCAATAATTAACTAAATAAATAATATTAAAAATAAGCAATATGATTTACTATAATTCTTAAAAATAAAATTCAGAAAATAATGTTTTCGTTTGTTGTATAAAAGAAATTAAACTGTTTTCTTTTTTCACATTATCATAGTCATACTTCCTATTTCCACAAGGATTTACCCTTTTTAGTTTAAAAAAGTTACTTTTCCATTTTCAGTTTTCTGAATTATATCTCAATTATATAATTGATACATGAACAAATACACTTAATATGTTTATTTATCATAATTCTAAACTATATCTTAATAAAATTATTATTGTATTTTTATTAGTAGTATTTTTTAAATATTCAGTTATGATACTTATTGTGCCCTTTCATGTATATTATCTCACGTGGCCCTTATAAAACCCAGATAGTGAAGTATTTTCTTCCCCACTACACAGACACAAAAACTGAGACTCAGAGAGGTTAAATATTTTTTGTTTGAATTCACACAGCTGGTAAGTACTAGAAATAAAACTCTTGATCCTAGAATTTACCTGACTTCAAAGAACGTGCTCTTTCTAGTTCACTGTGGATTTCAAGTAAAGGAGCATATTTTCCCCATTAAGTTTTAGATATTGTTTCACATTTGTTCTGAGACTGTGTTTCTCAAATGTTGGTAACCAGACCAGCAGCATAAGCATCACCAGAGAACTTGTTAGAAGTGCAAATTTGGGGGTCATCTCGTAGTCCTGCGGAATAGAAATTCTAGATACAGCCCAGATATCTGTGTTTTAACAAGCCCTCTGGGTGAATCTGATGCATGCTAAAGTTTGAGCACCACTGTTGTAAGTCAGGCTTATAAAAAACATTTTTGCTTTATAAATCATAGCTTACTGTATACTCCCCTATAGTAATTTATGATTGTAAATTAAGTGTTCATTGTTTAGCTCAGATATATAAAAATGAGGATTGCCTCTTTCATTTTTTAGACAATATTGCTGTTGACAGAGTTATTTTAGCTATTTTCCTATTGTATAAATATGGTAGATTTAAGTATAATACTAAATAAAGCTTATCAGAGAGATAAGAATATTCAAAACTTTGTACAAATGGCAACATTATTATAAGCAAAATTAAAATAATAATTTCTCCAAGTGAGAGAAAGATTATAAGGACATGTGTGATTACTGCCTATAGCTATAGATTGTATAACAGTGTAAATCACATTAGAGTAGAGAATTAGAAACCAGAGGGTATAATTCTCTCTTAGGAGTACTGAATACATAGAAATATTTTTATATTATCTATATGGCAAGTACATGGTTAAATCTTTAACAAAACTGAACCAAAACTGCCTTACTTTCTCTTAAACAGGCTGAATAAACTGTACCCTTTACCTCCTAATTTAGGCTAATGAAATAATAATTTTATAGTTTATGTTGTTGCTCATTCTTTACAACATTACAACCTTACTCACCAAGTCACAGATATATACGGGTATCTGTGATACTTCATTCTCTTTCCAACAAAATGCAAATTTTGTGTTATGTTACCAAGAAAGGCCATTTATTTAATCAAATTTAACAACTGAAACAATTTTACTGCATTTTATAAGTATATAAGTACATTCACACTTAAGAAACTTTTTGAAAGGTTAAATTCTGTCTTGAGTTTAATTGGCTTTCATAGGCCTCATGAAGGACTTTATGGGACGCCCCATCTCTGCATTTTGGTAATACAATATATTAAATAATGATATGTTCCATTTATATACCACTTTATTAATGTCCGAATGTCTTCTGGTACATTACATCTTTTCCTTCTCAGACAAAACCTACAAAATAAGCAAGACAAGTGATTTTTCCATTAAGATAAAGAGAAGCTAAAAGCCAAAGCCCAGACCCCACCCGTGATGAGGCTGAGATGAAAAGCCAGCTCTCTCAATCCCCATCGCAGGCGTCTCCTCCTCACACCATACTGTCTCCCTTTTTTAGACTCTACCTCTTTTAGAAGGCTTGTCATCCATTCAGTTTAATTCAAGGAGTTCTTATAATGTATCATTGTAATGTTCACTCTATTAATGACTGTGAAGTGCTAATAGTAAGAAACTGTTTTTATTTAATTAATTTCTAAACCTCTCTTGTCTTTCCAGGTACCACTGCTTTGTATTTGTTCCTGGTTATGCATCCTTCCATCCTTAGTAACTCCCCCAGCCCAAAAACCTTTGAGGAGGTACAGTTCTTTAATAGAAATAACTACCACAGGGGGATTGATTGGTAAGATGGGTTATTAGTATAAATCTAAAAGTATATGTACTGTGCACAGTATAAACTTAGCACTAATATTTAGTAACACATAAGTCGGTAGCCACAAATATATAAGTTACCCTTTGTGCCTTGGAAATTGACTGAATAACAGTGAAGGAGCTCGGAAATCATTTATGACAAACTATTTTCAGTTTATCAGGGGACTTCATGACTCAAAAGCCCACATGTAATTTCAATTGGCATTAATTATCTTTGTTGATAATTACAGGTGTGAAGTCAGAGAAATAGAATCATACCCAGAAATTTCATTCTTTTTTACTCATAAGAAAATATTTTCATATCTTTCTCTTCTTGTGCACTTTTCATTAAATAATACTATAGCCCATGTATATAATTTTCTATTTTGCTTTGATATAAAGGATGAAAAATAAATAAACAGAATTAGAAATGAATATATGTTTCATGCATAATCAAAGATATAAAAAAGCTATTAACACTATACAATTTTTTTGCCTTTGTATTGAAATTAGAAATATATCAACTATCTGAAGAAAATACTTAAAAAGTAAAAATGTCAGATAGACACAAACTATAGTAATGTTGTAGAAATAGATGGTACAAACTAACATGTTAATCATAAAATGTACCTGGAGGTCTTATTAAGGCATAATACTGGACGGAGAGTGGTGTAGAAGAGTGGAATTCTTATAATAATTCTGCAGTATAAATGTAAACGTTTTGCATGTATTTTAGCTTGCAGAATTATATATGTTAACCTCTTGTCAAATTGCATGATCTCAATTTTATAAGCATTATTCCCTCAAAAGTTGTTTTTGAATAGTCTAAACAGAAAGATTAAAAAGATTGAGTATAATTTGAGCACATACTAGGACTTACGTATATTCTAATTGTTATGTATTTCACTGCCAGGTCTTCCGTGCAGGGTTTGATATTGATTAATTGTGTGGCGCTAATAACAATGGGGAAAATCAAAGAAACAACCATCTCAGCTGCTATTTGACCACTGATTCAAATAAATGTGCTGGTAGACAGTCGAATAAAATGATGCCAACATTAGGACTGAATGGAGTGATTAAAAACTACCTTGGAGGTGGACAGGAATGCAATACTTAGATTCCCTGGGACTTAAGAATGACTGTAGTAATGATTTTTTGTCATAAATTTCTCAAAAATAAAAGTTCGATCATGTGTATAAGCACTACAATGGGAAAAAAAAAGTCCCCTTAGCAGTTTACAAGGAGATAATATAAATAAGTAAAAGGCTAAAGAGCAATAAAATATTTTAAATATAACTCACTAAAAACTCCCCAAATATAAATACTTTTGATTGATAAGTTATATGTTTATAAAAGGCAATTAGCTTTGCACAGTGGTAGTATCTGAGGTGCTATTATTGCTAATTAAAACAGAAAAGGCAAATAACGTGAGTAAAAAATAATGGTAACTGCAGATCTCAACCTATGGCAGTAACTATAGCTTTGATTTCAATGACATAAAATCTGTTCAGGTCCTCACACTGGCCTTGTCTTTCCATGAAGCATAAGTACTTCAGCATCCCTTTGGGAACATGGTGCCACATGGTTGAAGATTGTGTGTCTCAGAGTTCTAGGGTCACTTAAAGAAGTAACCCAGGCACAATCAGTTAATCTAACTGCATGGATTTCCTTTTTCTGGAGAACTGATAAAACCAACAGTCTAAGTACAGGCTTAGGTCACAAGCAATGTAGGGAAAATGAAAATTAGAATCCTTTATCTTTGACAAAACAGTCAACATTTGCAATCATAAGATCTAAGGAAAATGTTAGACTTATAGCATAAATGTAAGTTTTATGTTTTATGATTTGGTCTTTTTTTATTTTTTAAGAGACAAGGTCTCACTGTGTCACCCAGGCTGAAGTGCTGTGACACAATCATCACTCATTGCAGACTTAGGATCCTGAACTCAAGAGACCCTCCTGCCTCAGCCTCCCAAGTAGCTGAAATTAGAGGCATGCACCACCATGCCCAGCTAATCTT